CAAGAGGTAATGATACTCCGGTCCAGTTTTGTATTGATTATGATAATTAAAATTTAAATCTGCTTTAGTTTTTCATGCATCAATAATGTATTATGTGAACTTTACCCCTTGTGAAGTTAAAATCCTTGTTTTGTTTAACGGAATGAGTTCAAATTTCTTTGTAGTTTATTTGTTGAAATTCATGCTTGAGTGAAGTCTTTCTGCCATCAGTTTTTTTTTTTTTTTTGCCGCACCACATAACATTTTAATGTAACTTGCTGTGACCGAATTGGGTTTGTTTACTTACTTTACATTGACTTTTGTTTTTCAGTGCAAGAACTTGGACCCAACTACATTCAAGCTATGCCAGGGCATGCAGCCAAAGCTGTCCAAGTTGTTCGAATCTTATGCATCGAACTTGCATGGATCTTCTGCTGAATTGAGCTCTACTGATCCCGGATCTGAAGCTTGACACACTGTTTCTTTAATCTTAGTTAGATCCAAGTTTCATATTTTTGATGGCAGATGATTAGTTCCATTCCTTTTGTTCTGAAGGCCAATTATTTGAGAGTGAAAGAAGAGGGGTGGGTTTTGATTAGAACCCTGCATTTTGCAAATATTGCAATAAGTTACAGGTGCCTCAATCCTGCCTGTTTAACGGGGTATTTTTTTTATCTTTTTGTTTTCTGGTCAAAGGTTATATAGGTTTGGTAGTGTAGGGGCTATTTTGTCTGCAGTGGAAGATGCTTGGCCATTGCATCTTTTGGGGCATTTTGATCCGTTTCCTTTCTTTCATGAGGGTTTGATTCTGCATGATAAAGTTTTTATGCTGTTTTTGGTCAATTTTACGAAAAAAGGGAAATTTAAAGTTTATTTTTAATTGGCTTAATTACTTTTTTTTAGTTTCATTTTTATTTTGTTCAAATATTAGTAAGTGGTATAGTTTTGTTTCTCAATTTTCTATTTTGTGAATTTTAATTCCCTTGTTTTTTAAATTCATGTAATTACACTGTTATTAACTAGTGCTGTTAGAAATGATTCCAAATTTATTTTAAATAAATTTAAAAATAAAAATTATTAATTTTTTTAAGTATAAATGAAAATTCTTAATAAATTTATTTAGTGCAATATGTTACTAGTAGTTTTCATTTAATTAATATTAATATTTAAAATATGTTTTTGTAATTTAACAATTACATGTGTTAAAAATTGTAATATAGTAAGTCTTTTAAAATAAAAATTAATATAAATAAGTATGTTATAACAATCATTGTTAAATTACTGTTATTTTATTAAATAATATTTTATAAATAAAAATAAATTAAATAAATTGTAAATATAACTATTGGACAAACTTTTTGGTAACAAATAAATTAACCGTGTACTCTCTCCCTTTTCTAGCATAACAAAGGAAATCCTCTAAAAATGTCTCTAAGTTACAGTATTCACCTTCACCCAACAAGTTAATAATGTTAAATACCTAATGTAGACTAAACATTTGAACAGCATGTCTTTTAATGAATTTCTTTACTGAAAATGCCCTCTTCTTCAATCTTAGAAAGGTGAACACATGACTTTTTCAATTTGAAACCAAAGATTAGTGGGGTTTGGAAGATGGTAGTTGCTTTTCTAATAATATTATCTTTCTCTAATTGATTACATCATTTACTGTTGCTTGAGGTGGCGTTGCTTGGAAAATTTTATTGAGGTGGTGCTTCTTGTACACTTTGGAACTGTGGGTTTGAGACTCTTTAGTTCTTTAGTTTGTTTTGGTTGTACTTATGGTATTATTTGTTGTGGTGTATTTATGGTTTTAAATTATTTGTTAATGTATGCATTTCGTTTATTGGGTAGGTAAGGTGTTCAATAAAATGTCCTAATGGAAAGAGTATCTCTTCTTATATTACTCCCAACCTTATTGTTTTGAATGGTGCTAGAAAAATGTGAAATATGAGTATGACAAGTTCAAGATTGAAATTAAAGATTTAAAGATATAAATCAATATAAATGTAAGAATTATTTTGAATGGTTAAAGCATTCTTTTTTTCACAATTGTAATTGCTGCTGGTATTCTTATAATTGTAATAATTTTAGAGTGACTTGGTAGTTGTAATCATAAATGTAGATGGTCCTGTGAAGGAAGTTAAACTTACATTATGAAAGTGTAGTTTTAAATGAAAATGACTCTTATTTTAACAAAAAATGTAAGGTGTAGTTGGACAAACTCTACCGTAATTTAAACATTAATAAATTTGAATATATTATAAAGAGAAGTTTTTACAAGTAAATATAATAATCCCTATACAAAGTATTATATAATAATAAAGAAAAAGAGTAATATAATGCGTCACTATATACCATAAATACTTTTTAATATAATACATATTCATTGAAATATAACAATAAAAGAATAAACTTTTTTAAATATTAATTTTTTTATGAACTAATATTTTAATAAAGTTATATTCAGGATTTATAATTTAAACAACACACAAAGTTATAATTTATAAATATCACAATATAAATGTATGAATAATATAAGACTATCTATCATTTAAAATTTATATGTCATTTACAAGTTTTATACATATACAAAAAGTCCTATGGTAGTTAATAACATTTTATTAAATCATCTAAGTTAATGTCACTTAAATTGAACAAGATTATAATAATATAATTGTTTAATGACTAATAGTTGTAAATTTATATGATTTATATATTTTTGTATTTGAAAATAATAATGATCATGAAAAAACTAATAATAATAAAAATATAATAAATGAAAGAAAAATTCAAATCTCTTTCATCATAATAAGTTTTGAAAAATATTAAGTATTAAAAACTAATAATTAAATATAAAAAATAGGAAATCAAGGGTCAACATTATATGTGAATAAAAATATATATTGTAATAAATTAATAGTTTGTAAAAAATATTAAATTATTTTATGTTATTTTTCTTTAATTTAATCTATATAATACCAACAAATAAGTGACCCTGATACAACCACTAAAAACAATAATGAAGTGTAAAAATAAATTTTGTCAATAACAAGTATTCACCTAACATGAAAAATAGAGTAACATTGAAAAAATAAACATAGTATCAATCAATTTTTGAATGTATCTATAAAAAATAAGACGCTTGTATCCATGAAAAAAGAAGAATACTTATAGAATATAAATTCTAGATGCACAAAGAACATTTAAATTATAATAAAACATTACATTATCTAAGAGATGAGATAGTCTTGTACAACTAATATATAATTTTTTCTCAAAGATGTTAATTTTTTTTATTTAAGAATATTTTATTCAAACTATTTTGTTTATAATCAAGAAAAATAAATTCTTAAAAACAATTATTTTTTGTATATTTTTTATCTTATAAAAGATAAAATATCAATGATATTCTATAATCATATAAATTATAAATAATCAATAATAATAAATAATATGGTCAAAATGAAGTAATATAAAAATAATACTTTATTTATTATACAAAACATTTTTCATTTCAAATTTGATAATTAATTTATTTCATTTGCACAGTCTATTCAAAATATTTGTTTTGAACAAATTATTTTTAAATGTGAAAAAACAAAATGCACTAACAAACAATTTAAAAAAAATATATATAATCTTTACGTAGTTCTGTTTTTGAAATCTTTTTCCATCCCATGTAAAGATATGGCAATGAGATGAACAGCCACACCCACCCAAATAGTTATGGTCAATAATATCTATGAAAAAATATGATAAATAATATATATTAAAAAATATATATATCAACTCTTATTTACATGTAACAAGTTGTTAACTGCAAGTTCAAGTGGAAGCTGTTACAAAAATATGATAACAATAAAATCCCAAGGTAGGTTTATTGAATATTTTTAATTGAACAACGTATAAACAATATAAAAAAAATTAAGAGGTTAAAAATGAATTTAATTTTTTTATTATTATAGAGAAATAAAAACCAAGAATAGTGAGTGTTCGTCATAACTCATTGGCTTGCTTCTGAGTATCGGAAACTAACGGAAAATTATACCTTTGTTTCTCGTCTCAATTTCACACACACGAAACATCGCACTAAACAAAAACAAAACCCTATTTCCACACACACTCTCTTCTCGCAGTTTGCTCATTCATTCTCTGAGTCCGAACCTATAAACTCTTCTTATTCCTTCTCTCTATTAGCATTTTGCGATAAGGCTTGGTGGTTATCACTTAAAACGTAGACGTTTCACACCCATCATCAATCACTGCCTCGTCTCTAGGGTTAGTTGGTTTCTTTTTCGTGGGTTCCTTTTTGTCCTTGCAATCAAGCATCGAGGTTTTCTTTGTAACCCTAGGTACAGGAGGAGTTTTTTCTTACATCCACCAATTAATCACGTGCGTTTTATTCTCTCTGTTTTCTCCCATTACCTATTTTCTTTTAACACTGAACATAGGGCTTTTTATTTTTTTATTTTTTTCCAAATTTGGGTCCATGGATGGGTTTGCAATGCAGTGAATTTTGCCATTGCTGTCGTATGGTGCTTTGATTTTCCCAATTATTGGTTATTAAATTGTGTTGTGAGGTGAAACATCTGTGAGTGGTTTAAAGTGGAAATCCGTGTTCTGATTAGCGATTGAGGCTTATCTTTGAGAAACTCCTCCTTAGCAACATTGTCTTGTTTTGTCAAGACTCAGGTTTCTCGTCAGTGTTTGTTTTGGACCAGTTACGGCTGTGTTGTAGATTAAGTATCAGGTTGAGAAGGTTGGATTATTTTCGTAACTGGTGAAGGTTTGTGATTTCTGGCGAAATTGAATTACACTGTGGAAGAGCTGATATTTTTTTGTTTGGAATGAGTTTTTCATGATAAGATTGGGTTTTAGAATAGTAATGAGTGGTTCAAGGTAGAGAAGGGAGTTTTTTACACTATACAAGCAAGTGTGATAGAGCTACTTGGGGGTGGACTTGGTGAAGAGGTGCACACGACAATTTTTGTTATTTCTGATGATGTTCAGTGTTAGTTATGGAAAGAAGTGAACCCACATTAGTTCCAGAATGGTTGAGAAGTGCAGGAAGTGTTGCTGGGGCTGGAAATTCAATCCAACATTTTCCCTCGTCTAATCACACTGGTAATTTAGACTAAGATCTCTTTTATTTATTTACATTTTCAAAGCTTTTTTTTTTATTTAATTCAGAATGTCATTTCTCACATTTAAGAATCTTGTATCTTCATGTGCATAGGATAAAAATGGGTATTTACAAATTTTTGAAAGAAAACTGTCTGAGTTACTAGTTTTGTGACAGTTGTTTCATAACATCAATAATGCTTTTTACACTCTGACCGCAGTTGCGTTGATACTTTGGACTTTCTGTGACCCTAATTGTGGCTGCATTTTGTCTGCAATTTTTTAGAACCTTTGGTATTAAGTTTGTTAATGTGTTTTATTGATTGAAAAGTGGAAAAATACTAACTGGCTTGACATTGTTGTGTAGATTCTTCTTCTGTGGGTCATCACACAAGGAATAGGTCTTCTAAGAATGCTAATGATTTTGATAGTGCTCGATCTCTGTTTCCTGATCGAACATCCTCATCAATTTCCCGGAGGAGTTCTATAAACGGTTCTGCCAAACATGCCTACAGTAGTTTCAACAGAAGTCATCGTGACAAAGACCGGGAGAGAGAGAGAGAGAGATCCAGTTTTGGGGATAACTGGGATTGTGATGGTTCTGACCCATTGGCCAATCTCTTTTCTGGAAGGATGGAGAGGGATACATTGCGCCGTTCTCATTCAATGGTTTCCAGGAAACAGAGTGAGGTTATACCCCGTAGAGTTGCAGTTGATACTAAATCTGGTGGCAGTAATCATCAGAACAATAGCAATGGCCTACTTTCTGGGAGTAATGCTAGTAGTAGCATTCAGAAAGCGGTATTTGACAAAGATTTTCCATCACTTGGTACTGAGGAAAAGCAGGGAACAGCTGAAGTGGTGAGGGTTTCATCTCCTGGTTTGGGTGGCACTGCTAGTCAGAGTCTGCCTGTTGGAAGTTCAGCATTGATTGGAGGGGAGGGATGGACATCTGCACTGGCAGAGGTACCTACAATAATTGGTAGCAGCAGTACTGGATCTCTATCAGTGCAGCACACTGTTAATACAAATTCTGGGTCTGTGGCGTCAAGTTCAACAGCTTGTCTTAATATGGCTGAGGCATTGGCACAGACTCCATCCCGAGCTCGCTCTACTCCCCAGGTAGTTGAACTAGTTACCTGTGTCACTGACTTTTTTATTCGTATTCTTTTCTTTCAGTTTAGAGATTTTATTAATATCCATAATCATCAATTAATAAGGCCCTAATAATTGTAGGTGTTGGTCAAAACTCAAAGGCTCGAGGAACTGGCTATCAAGCAGTCAAGACAGTTGATTCCAGTAACACCCTCAATGCCTAAAACTTTGGTAAGAGGATTACCTTGTGAAATACTGTTATAGTTTTTATTAGCTGTATCCTATTTTAGATTGCATAGTAGGGTTTTATTACAATTAATCTATATCCATTTGAAGATCTTTTAATTGATATTTTGTATAGTAGTTTTTTGTTTTTGGTAGTTTTAATTAGTATACATGTATAAGTAGGCTGTACTGTAACATTTGAACATAGATTTGTAATTTGGCTGTTTATTTTATTTTGGTTTGCATTGGAGTGCTAGTTTGTGGCAGGATAAGGATTTGTAATTTGCTTTTGTTGTTGGAGTGATATTTAGTGGTAAACAACTGAGTTGAGGTTGACAATTTGAAAACTGTTTTGAATGGACTGGAATTCTTTTGATGGATGAGAGTCTGGTGTAACACATTATCAGATTAGAAATAAATATTGATGAAATGACTAGGTAATCTTTATTTTTTTCATTTTTATTCATAAGTCATTTTATGTGGCCAGGTATCTTTATGAAGATATATAGGCTTAAGACATCATATAAGTGAACAGGTTGATAGAAAAGTTTTTGTTAAAAATCCTTTTGCATAATGTTTTGTTGTATTATTTAATTGGTCATATGTTGTAATGATGTGATATGGTGATTAATTGCAAACTAATTATTGCAATCGTCTCACTCTACTATTATAAGTTTAATATCATAAAAAGCAGAATTTCTTGAATATTTTTTATTTGTAATTATAGTAGCTATTATTTTTAGGCTATACTCGGCTTCCTTCTGCTTCTATGTCAGTGAAATAAACGGAATAAAAACATAAGTATTGAACAAAAGCTTCACTTCTCTACCATTTTCTTGGCTAATTTTAATGTGTTTTTATCAGTTTTTGGTTATTATCATCTCAGGCTCTCAGCTGACATGCCTCTACCAAGCCAAATGATTGCATGTGATCCATTAGCTGACCTTACTTAGTGGTTTAGTTTTTTATCTTTTTCTTTGAATAATATACATGCAGATTTCCAGACAAGCCTTATTTGAAGACCGTTTAAAGTGCTTTAGGAAACTATAGTCTTTTTATTCTTACCAAAGTTTGAAAAGATACTGGTAACAATGATTTCTTTGGTAGGAATGAATTTGTCATGATCTATCATTAGGAATGGTTAATATGATTAAATAAGCAATGTTGCTTTTTTGTTTTTCTGTTGCCTGAATTTGAATTATGAAGCATATCGTTATCTTTGACTGGTGGTATCCTATTAGTGATATTTTTATGCTTCTCACACACTGGAACGATATCTCAAATATATCATTTTACAAATTATGCTTATACCTAAATCTGGAATTGTCATCAACTGTCTACTCTCTAAACCTGTTAACTTTGATCTGGCGTGCTAGTCCTTAATACTGTTTCACCATGAGTTCCTAAGAATTTCCATGTTCAAGTGGTCTAGACTATGTGTGGCATATTTTTTGCCAATCACCATAGGCAACTTGTGAAGGGAGGACCGCTACTCACTATAGGCTGTAATTGTGTGTATATGGTTGAATTTTGGTCTGCGCCATATTCTGTCATCCATCACTGATGACACTGCTCTGGACTACCTATATCTCTTCCACCATCTTCCATCTGGTGTATAAGGAAGAAACCTGTGTGCTGGGTTTGTGGTTACTTGGAATAACACACTCATGATTTGATATTCAATCACTTACTTGAAACCTTTTAATATTTTTATGGTGGGCATAATATGTTTGTCATAATTTTTTAAATAATTTTTTAAAAGGTTTCTAAAGAAATCCATGCGACACATTTATATGTATTGCGGTAAATATATTGTTTATGTCATGATAAGTTGGCCATTACATTCTTTAATTATAAGGATTTTCATGCCCCTTTCAAAAATAATCTACCATTTTTTTCACTTTTACCACCATTCCATTCCTATAATCTTACATTGTTTTCCATGCTTATATGATTAGTTCAGCGTGGATATGTCTATCGATGTCCCTATTATATATGAAATTTGTGGTTTCCCTAGAGGATACCTAACATTGATGGTGGATGTATTATTATATGTATGCTCCATTTATTTTCATGTATATACAGAAATCTGTGGAGGAAATGAGGGTTGTGTGTAGGATGAATTATTTTTCAATAATATCAAATTTGAATGTTTCCTTGTTCAAAGCAGACGTCAAAACTTTTGGAAGTTTAGATGTCTAGCATCATGTGTATGTATTCAATAGAAAATTAAATATTATGTGTTATTTTCTTTTCTCTTGAAGTCTTTGATGATTTAGTATACTTTTCTATTCAGGTTCATAGTTCTGAGAAATCAAAGCCCAAAACAGCTATCAGAAATGCTGAGATGAATGTAGTTACCAAGAGTGGGACACAGCAACCCTCTGCGTTGCACATTGCAAGCCAATCTGTTCGCAGTGTAAATGCCAAAGTTGAAGCTCCAAAGACATCTGGAAAGTTTACTGATCTGAAATCCGTTGTGTGGGAAAATGGTGCTTCCCCTGCCTCCAAGGATGTATCACATCCAACAAATTATTCTAGCACCAAACCTGGAAATCAACATGCTGTTGCTTCAGGAGCTGCTTCTGCTCCTTTGAGGAACCCCAATAACCTAAAACCCTCCGCAGAGCGAAAATCATCTTCTTTAGATCTGAAATTAGGTTCAACTTTTGATAAGAAACATTCCATATCTCAAGTGCAGAGCCGGAATGATTTCTTCAATCTCATTAAGAAGAAAACATTGATGAACTCTTCTGCAGTTCTTCCAGATTCTGGCCCAATAGTTCCATCTCCCATGATGGAGAAATCTCATGAAGTAAATAGGGAAATAGATAACGAATCTACAAGTCCCCAGTCTCCTGGAAATGGTACTGAACTGATAACTAGCAATGGTAATGCCCATGCTCATGAAGAAGTTCACAGACTTTCTAATAATGAAGAGAAAGAATCAATTCCCTGTGCAACAGTATATCCAGATGAGGAAGAAGCTGCATTCCTTCGTTCTCTTGGCTGGGAGGAGAACTCAGACGAGGATGAAGGCCTTACTGAAGAGGAAATCAATGCTTTCTATCAGGAGGTAATGATATCTCGATCTTGTTTTGTATTGATTAGGATAATTCCAATTTAATGTATCAATATAATGTATTATGTGAACGTGACCCTCTTGTGAAGTTAAAATCTCTGTTTTGTTGAACGGAATGACTTCAAATTTCATGTTGTGGTTGATTTGTTGTAATTCATGTTTGAGTGAACTCTTCTGGTATCAGGTTTTTCTTGCCGCAACAAACTGCATTTTATGCAACTTGCTGAGACCGAATTGGGTTTATGTACTTATTTGTCATTGGCTTTTGTTTTCCAGTTCAAGAACTTGGACCCAACTACATTCAAGCTATGCCAGGGCATGCAGCCAAAGCTGTCTAAGTTGTTCGAATCTTACGCATCTAATTTGCATGGATCTTCTGCTGAATTGAGCTCTTCTGGTCCTGGATCTGAAGCATGACCCACTGTTTCTTTAATAGTAGTTAGATCCAAGTTTCATATTTTTGATGGCAGATGATTAGTTCCATTCCTTTTGTTCTGAAGGCCAATGATTTGAGAGTGAAAGAAGAGGGGTGGGGTTTTGATTAGAACCCTGCATTTTGCAAATATTGCAATAAGTTACAGGTGCCTCAATCCTGCCTGTTTAACAGGTTTTTTTTTTTTTTTTTTTTTTTTTTTTCTCTTCTGGTTAAAGGTTATAGGGTTGGTAGGGTAGGGGCTATTTTGTCTGCAGTGGAAGATGCTAGGCCATTGCATCTTTTGGGGCATTTTGATCCGTTTCTTTTCTTTCATGAGGGTTTGATTCTACATGATAAAGTTTTTATGCTGTTTTTTTATCAATTTTACGAAAAAAAAAGGAAATTAAAAGTTTATTTTAATTTTAGAGCATGTTGATATGATTAATTATGGATGTCTTTTTTTTGGATATCTCGGTTCACTTTCTGGTCATATAAATAATATCCAAATACAAAAATAGAATTTTACACTCGTTAAATTTAACTCTGTCCACCATTCATTTGTACTTGACGTCTGAACTGTTGCTGCCTCTAATGTAGATGAAACAACTCGGTTAACTACATAACCTCCATTTGCTGTGAATGGGTAAATAATAAACAATTATGGATTATTTTGCATAAAAGTTTGTCATAATTTTAATTTACAAACTGGTAAAAGTACTGTTTTATAAGTTTCAATAAAGGATTTGTAAAATCATGTTACAAACATGAGTATATTTAGAGTTGAAGTAATCTTTATAATTTTAAACACTCTTTCTGCATAAAGCATAGAATATATGATTTTTATATTAACATTTGTTTTCTTATGTATAAGTTAATTTTAATTATATAAAAAAGTTTATTTTACTGTTTCTATCTTCTTCTTTTCCTCGCAGAAATACTTCTAAAATAATTGTCCAAATAAATTTTAAATGTACAAATAGATACAAATTAAAATGAGTTCGGGTAGAAACTTATTAATTTGATGACAATTTCTATTGCAAATTAATACCATTTTTTTGTTTTTTTTAATTATGTTATTTATGGGGAGATTATCTACTTTGTTGATAATTAATTTGTTTAGAAATTTAACTTATCATCTTTAGTAAGCTTTTTTTTCCAATCATGTTTTACTTTCTTTCATAAAACTCTAACACGAGACCTTGTTTAAGAAAATCGAGACTATTATTACTCGGGTCAACAACTTGTTAATATAATATTAGTTTGTTTTAAATACATTTTATTCTAACTTCGTATTATTGAATAAGTGCTAGTATTGAGATGCTCATAAACTCCAATCCTCTTTATTGATGACTATATTCTTGAGAAATTTAACTTACTATTTTTAGTAGGGTCTTCCTTCCAATCATTTTTTTTTCTTTCATAAAATTCTAATGAGACCTTGCATAAGAAAATCCAGTTTAGTACTACTTGAATCAATTTGTTAACATACTATTAATTTGTTTTTAGATACATTTTAAATACATTTTATTTTAACTTCATATTATTGAGTGAGTGCACATAAATTGCATATATACTGATATTGCTAATTATTGCATTATATTATTTATCATTGGATGGATGAAACTTAAGATTTAGCACTCTTACATTCAGTAATGTTTTATCTTTTAGCCCTTTCAATATTTGAGGAAAATATTTACATGGGGCTCAAAGATATGTTACAGTTAAGTATAAAGTGCTAACATAGTATTAAAGTAAGTTTGTAATGTTTAATTACTTGATTTTGATTCTATACTAATTTGATCCCAGAGTCAGAAATTGTAATGAATTAATTTTTAGAATTGAACTTATGGTAGGCCAGGAGTTTTGTAAGCAATAAAATCATTATACTACACCTACTGCATTTAGCAATATTGAATGTAATTTCTGCAAGGATTTGATAAGAAAAAATTATTTATGTAGTAATTATAAAAACGTTAAACTATAAAATATTAAATTTTAATAAAAAAATTAATATTAAATATTAAATTTAATTATAAATAAAACAAATCACATATTTTATATTTAGTCTTTCTATCAATTTTGTGATAGTAAAATTATCCGTATATGTTAACTTTAAATATAAAAAATATTTACATATTTTAAAAATAAATAACTAAATTTATCAATTCAAAAATACAAAAAAATAGTTAAAAAAAATAGAGGAACCAAAAATATACTTTTTTCCTTATAAAAGAACTATTTGTCAAAATTGTTCGGTACGATGCCTCTGTGCTAAAGAGGGTTAACGAGAAGAAATTCGTGTCTATTTTATTTTATTTTTTGGTATTGTTATATAAAGTTATTCTTCTGATAAGTATTTGTTGAACTTAATTTTATTTAATTTATAAAAAGGTTACTTTTGTTTATAAATATTTAAAGTTTTATTTAATCTGTTTTGTAAGAAAATAATTTTACTTTAAATGAGAAATATGTTACTGATATGATATGTAATATAAGAGGTAAAATTAACATGTACGTGATAATTAATTTATTAATACAAATTTGTTTTGAGAGATTAGAATGAAAGAATTTTATTTTTTGTGATCAACTTAGTTTCAGTAGAGTCATGTGATTTGGATAGGTGACCATAAAAGTTTAATGCATAATTATTTCATTATATTATCTTTTATTTTCATTTTGTTATGTTATTATCTTTTAAAGTAAGTAAATGATATTATCTACTTCTATTATATTTTCTAAGATAAAGAATATATATCAGTGGATTCTAATAATAATAATGTGTATATATTGTCTATTAAATATTAGAGTTCAAGTTCAAATGAAAATAGCACAACAATTCTCCTGCATTTTCAAAGGGTTGATCCAACATAACATGCTCTTCCATATATTTTGATGGAGATAACATTTTTAACATTGCATAGCATATCTGCATTGTTCTGCATCAGCTTCAGAACCAGAATTGAAAATGCAAATTCGTATTTTTCACTAATGAATGTCATGTTCCACGGAACAATTTTGAGATCTTTCATTGAATAGAGAAATATATAGAACAGTCATTGGTTTGTAAGTCAGAATTTGCGGAATTGAGTTTGGTAGTAACTTGTAAGCCCAAACTCTTACAAAACAATATTGTGGCCGTGGAACTGGAGACATTCAAACAATATTCTGATTGAATTACTTCTGGGGCTGAACATTGACTTGCTTGATAAAGTTGCTGCAGTTTAAATATTCAATTGAATCAATTCAGTAGCTCAAACCCTTCTGCATTAAATATTGTTCTTACCACTCCATCATGTTGTTGACTTGTATGTCTGGAGTGATCATCATGAACCATTAATTTCATTGATGAGCAAGGGCTTTCCTTTGTGAAACAGTGCTGCTCGTAATGTGATCAATTGTCTGCATCATGTTAAGTTATTGATGTGTTGCCACTCATGGTGTTTTCCAGTTCACAAACCAAAATCTATTTTGCCAATTTCTCAGCACAAATCCTGCCACTTTTGCATAGAAACCTCAATTGTAGGTTTTTTGGTTAATATTGGAAAACTTACAAGCCTAGATCTACGATCTATTCACGATATATGGTATACAATATAACCAGGATATTCTGTACCACCTCCATATGAGACACACCAGAAAATCAAACAGCACGAAAACTAAAAGCATGCCATTTAGATTATATCCAATGTAAAAATTTTAAGTGAGAAGGAAAAAGAAAAAGAACTTAGCATCTTGTTATCTGATCGCCCATCAAACACTTGTAAGCTGAGGATGATGTCTTGAATGGTGAATCTGTAAACTTTTCAATGCAGCCCCACCTGACCTTCTTTTCCAAAGACTATCCACTTGTCTCTCTTCCTCTGGCTTCTTCACTCTCTTGATCACAGGTAGAGGAGGATCCATGTTTTCAATGCTTATGGGAACAACATTCTCACTCCTCCTACACCTATGTTTGTGGTTCCTGAGCACATTTGCACTATTTACTGTTACTCTTGGCCTACTTCCACAGCTGGAGGCAGTAGGTGCAGTAGCAATGGTGGTGGTGCTGGTGCCTAAGTTTTTGCCAGAGAAGAGTTTTTTAAGCTTGGAATACTTGACACTAGGGGAAATGATGCTGCTGCTGGTGTTACTTTTGGTGGTGAGGAGTCCAACTATTTTGTTGTGCCTCTTCACCTGACCCATGCAGCCAATTCTTGGGGACAAAGGGTCACTGGAGAAGGATCCCGGTTGGTCTCTCCACTGTGGAAGACTCACATCTTTGATGGATGGCCTTGAACACAGCATTGGCAGGAATGTGGTTCTGTGATGGATGTGCAGGTTCTGATGGTAAAAGTAATGATGGGGATGGTGATGATTTTCACTGCTCATGTTTCTTGGCTGATAGATTGAGAAAAGATATGAATGGACTTGCTAAGTATTTTGGGTGGTTTAACTTATGACTTTGAGCTTGCCAAAGAAGATCATGTTTGTGACCCTTTCTTTTACTTGGTCCTCTAGACCAAAGAAATAAATAACAATTAACAAGATGACAAAGTGAAATAGAAGAAATCATTGCAGAGAAGGAGCCTCATCGAAGACTAGTGCACACACAACAAACGAAGAGAACCAGGACAGTTCTGGACCATTATTTTGATTTTATCTGGGGTTTAACGCGGATCAAAATTGTTTATGTGATTAAGCTCTTTAATACAAATTTAGGAGAGAAAAGGACTAATGAGTTTGACTTGCATCCTTGTGTTTGTGTGAGTCTGTGACTAAGTGGAGAGATCAAAATCCCAACCAATTGATCATGCTAAAGTATACACGCTACTACTGGTTAAATCATAGGTTGAACAACCCCTTGTCCCCCCCAAAGGGTCCACTTTAATTAATTACTTTTCCATTTTATCTTATATTATTTTGAAGAGTAAGTAACTTCAAATAATTTTATTATCATCATTTAAGTTTCTGCATTGAATTGAACCTGTGATTAACCACCCAGTCAAATAGTCTGACATAGTTCCTGTTACTGGTGCATTTTCACTTAGGTCCACAACTGGGTGCAATTTTTCTATCCAAATAAACTCGAGACTAGTAATTATGAATATCAGTGTTTGCCACCGATTTTCTGAAAATAGTTTTGTGGACTCAAAACAATTAATCTCAATAGTGCGGAACATATTATGAGGTAGAGCCACGTTCACCAAGAAGCCAATATTTTAGGGTAGGTTTTGGCACTTTGCATCAAGTGAAGTTTCCTAAACTATCATTAGTTATGGTTACTGTGTTTGTCTTTACACCAAACTCTTATTTATTTTAGCATATAATCAAGAAAAATTATTATTATGTACACTAATTATGTTAAAAGGTACATAATAGTTCATTTAAAGCTCTTATAAGTTATCATATGAGATACATTTATTTCCCAATTTATTAAATTTTCCCAAATCCTCTACTTTTTTTTTTCTAATTGAATTCAAAATTTTGAATATTTTCTCTTTTCTTCTTTTATTTCCGTATCTTTAGTTATTTCTTCATAAATAACCCAAAAATTAAAATCTAATTGAATTTTGAAAAAATTATGCTTAAATTATATTGAAATATTTATTTTAAATATCAATATAATTTAATCTACGTTTAAATAAAACATATATTTTAAATAAATTAAATATTTGAATATATTTTTAATTATTTTATAATAAGAAAAATATTTTAATGATTATTTTAAAATAATTTAAAATATATTTAAATATTTATTTATTAAATTCTTATTTTTTTTTAGAATTAAATATATCATATAGGAGAGAAGAGAATTACTTATTCTAAATTAAAAAGTATATAATACAATAAAAAATTAAGAAATTAAAACCATAGAAAAAAATTAATATTCAAAATTAAAATTTTTATAAAATATATATGAACCAAAACTATAATTAAATTCATTTTCTTATAAAAGTCTCCTATCTCTCATACGATTAATATATTCTCTTTTTTTAAGAATGGAAATGTTCTTATCTCATTTGTGTTTGATTGAGATCAGTTGGATATTTATTTTTTGTGAGAACTTGATGAACGAAAATATTAAATAAGTAATATAACAATTAAAAATATATTTTTAAAATATTTGTATATTAATATATGATGTGCACTCAACATTTTCAAAAACACTATCTTGGTGTGAGAAACATGATAGAACAATTTTGGTATCTTGTGGTTGGCTTTTATGAATTGTTTCTTCTTTTATTTCAGATTCATTTAATTGAGCTACATCTTTCCATGGAGCATGCTTTAGGGGCACAAAACATGATATTACAACTTTATTTTATACAACTTTATTTCAGATTCATTTAATTCACCAACTCTTTCTCCTCAAATTTTAAATACCAACTAAGATATACAATTCTTATTTTATTGATATACCACACATCTAAATATATCATATCACATGCAACATATTAATTTTTCATGTGACAAGTATAGTATGTTAATAGTAAATAATGATGAAAAATAATTTAGAAACTAAATTTACGAAAATAAAAACTATTATAAAATTAGTGACAGATAATAAAATTTAACCGTTATGGAAAGTATTATGTTATATTTAATATCAAATTTATATTATATAAAAAAAGTTATTAGTAGATTAGTTTCATTTATAATATAAAAAAACAATTGCATAAAATTTTCACCTTTCACTAGTTGTTGAAACCATCCTAGAAGGTTGATAACTTATTTTTCATTTTCTTCTTGTAGTTTGGAATAGTAGTTTCAGTAACGTTAGTTCGAATAAAAAAGTTATTTAATCTTGTAATTTATTCAAACAAAAGATGAAAGCTTCGTTCTCTTACCACTGTTGTTGAAGTATGTTAACTTGAGTAATAAAAGTTTTATTTCTTTTGTTTTGAGTGATAAAGTTTACTCATTATAGGAAATATTAGTCTGGAATTGAACTCTTTGTTTCATCAAAGAGTGAAAATATCTACATCTTTACATTTTTTTCTTAGACAATATTATTCTTCTAAAAATGCATAATCAAGATACATTGTCTATCATTACTTCAATCAAATCCATGTAATTTAAATTATCAACTTTTCTAATCATGTTAGCATAGTAAAGGGAATTGACATTTGGATCATTCACGGAAACATGATTCAAACGATTAAGTAGATCGTCTCTCTCGTGGAGAATATGCGTGAGTGAATGTGTAGGGGTTATCGGGTAAGTCACGACCAAGGAGAAGTTGGTAGAATCGTACATATAGTAGTAGGACTTTTCTTGATAAGTGGATGAGTAGTTTCTATCTCAGGTTCTTTATTGACTTTTGAGTTTGATTCGAGTCTTCTTATAATCAAATTTAGGGTCTATTATTTCTGCAAAAGAATCATAAGTTAGAAGTAATTATAAAAGAAGTTTATTATGAAAAAAGCAAAATAAAGTTTACCAAATTTTTTATAAAAAAAAAAGATAAAAACTCTTTATTAATAGGACGATGAAGGTCAAAAAGGTTTTTATATCATTTTTATCTTTAGGTGATAACAAATGCTTGACAAGATTTAAATTTGTGGGAAGTTCATCAATATAATGAAAAACAAGAAGTATAATTGGAATGAAAAGAGATGTCAAAAGAAATCATCCCGTGCACAACTAATTTAAAAAAAATGACATTTAAAATTTTTTATTTTTGAATGACGATTAAAAAAGGGTGAATAAACCATCATGCCGAGATCCATTTAAGGATACCCAACTTATTTTTTGATCATGCTTTAATTGGTAAAAATATAATAATTTATTTACGAGTAGGGACAAAATTTGAAAAACTTTTAGGAAAATCCAAAAGATCTTCAGTAATGTTATGACAAACGTTAATTCAATAGGAGTTGAAAAGACTTCTCAAGTTAGAAATGAATAAGTTTGGGAAAAATAAACTCCATAGATAAGGTCTATCAATAGTTCCTACACCCTCGTTATAATTAGGTTGTAAACTTATGGAGTTTGTGTATCTCGTCCAAATTTAATGAATGGAATATTTTTTGGAGTTTAATATCTCTTTAATGGATATTAATAAGGTAACATATCAATCAACGGTTCCAATAAAAATAAATTATTTTTATTAAATAAGTATCTTTATTATTTAAAATATTTGTTGTAAATAAATTATAAAATGTCACCTATTATTAATCATATTTACTTTCCTATTGATGAAGGTACATTTTACTAACTTAAAATGTTGTTGCATATAAATTTCTTTTGCAATTTTTGTACATTTACAAGTTATTTAATACTTTGATACTTGTTCATTAATAAGTTAAATTTACCAAATTATTCATAGTCAAAGTTAATAAAGTTTGACTTTCGAGTTATTTATTTATCTATTTGTAATTTTCTTGGCAAAAATATTATTGAATTTTAATTTTAATTTTTGCAATATAAGTTTTTATTTTCATTCCTTTTACTATTTTTTCATATATTTAAATAAATAAAGCAAAACAAATTCCCTTGTAAAAATAAATATAATAACCTATAAAGTAAAAAAAAAACTATATAAATATTATTTCAGAAAATAAAATAAAATAAATAATATAATTATTAAAATTTTCAGTATTAGTGTTTTATAAATATGTTTGTATTAATTTAATGTGTTTAAAAAATTTTAAAACTATCATTTCCTATTCAATTTCAACCATACCATTTTACTTATTCTCAATTTTAAATATGCATTAAATATAGTTGTAATTCTTTTTACATCAATAGTAATAGTTATTTTATAGTTCTACTATGGGTTTCATCTCACTGAACACAAATTAATTTTAATTGCGATATTGTGATTAGTAAGTTTTGAAACAAAGGGATGGAAAAATGTTATGAACAATGAATTTAGACACTTTATATAACATGTGGGGGTTATCCTAAATAGTTAATAAAATAATGTAAAAATTGTATATTGATAACTTAAAACAGCATATAACGTATGAACCCTAATTCAGTGACATAATTGTCTTATATCAATATAATAATAGTAATAATATATCATAGATAAATTTAAAAACAAAAATAAATAGTTATCATTTAGATGTTTGTGTAGGGTAAAATAATCTTTACTCTTTATTTAAACAAGGTCATGTCATGTGTCACACACTTTCTTGACTTTTAGCTTTTGGTTATATCAACTTTTTCTAATTATTTGCTTTTCCTGTTTAATATTATTATGACTTAGCACCAATATTAAGCTATTCTATGTGCAATTGCGTTTAAATTTTTTAAATTGAATTTTTGTACTTGAAAAATACATAATTAAATAAATTCTA